AGCTGCTCTGAGTCAAGGAACAGAACACTATGCCCCCCTTATCTCTGTGAGCACTAGCACATCCACAGTGGGGAGAGGCCCTATTCTTGCGGTGAGCACGAGCAGCACCTCGTCTACGGGGCCTTGCTCCTCAAACGCCACAGGCTGCACTGCGGAGACGAGGCCTGGAGAGGGTGGCGAGCGCCCCGGTCCCTCCCAAGCTAATCACGGAGGGGCCGCGTGGGGGCCCAGCTGCATCAATGCTCTGTATGCCAGAAGCCCTTCAGACACGAGCCCCTGCACCAGAGGCTGCACACAGGCAAGAAGCCGTTTGAGTGCAGGGACTGTGGCAAGGCCTTTCGCCCAAAGTTCAACCTCACACTGCACCCGGAGACACACAGCAAGGAGAGGCCTTTTGCCTACACAGATTACAGCAAGGCTTTCCGCAGGAACTCCGCGATGACCGGGCACCGGCGCCACAGCGGCCAGAGACTAACCACCCAGCTGCCGGGCCTGGAGGAGGGCCAACGCTGGCTAGCTGCCCTCCTCCAGCACCCGAATTGCCCCAGCAGGCAGTGCTCCGCGAGTGGCAGCCCAGGTTGGTGCAGCAGGGCATTCATCTGGGACATAGAGGAAGGCCAAGCCAGAGTGGGTACCCAGCCCGCCCTCCAGCCTGCGTGCCCACAAGGGAGCAGCATCTGGAAACCACGAAGTGGGCCTGGACACTCACATCGGCTTCATTAAGCCAAATGGGGGTGGGGCTGGGTTTTGTTTTCTTACTCATCTATTTTCCAAATACTGACTTCTGATCAGAAAAAAAGGATAGGTTGGTGTCATGACCAGGCCCTGTTTGCAGGGGCTGCAGCCACCCTGTGGGAGCTGGAGGGGCACAGAATCATAGTGTCTGGCATAGGGACATTGGGAAGTCACTGGTAGACAGGGTTTTTAAGTGAGCCAGGGCCGGAGGGTTGGTGATGTTGATTCCGGGACTCAGGCAGGGTCCCAGGCTCCCAAGTTGCACCTCAGGAGCCCCAGCCAGGCTGGGTGTGCCCTGCCTTCCCCAGGCCTCAGGCAGAAGGTGCTCACTGGGAGGTGCCCCAGAGGGCCTACTGTCCCAGGAGCCCGTATTAGCCACCACTGGTCACTGGTCATCAGCCTAACCCAACAGCGAGAACGCTAATGGGCTTCTGTGGCAGCTTATGAAACATGTGCCAGGGCAGGCCAAGTGGCGTGTTGGTTAAGAGCTGGCTCAGGACACCAGACGGCCCCGGTTCGGATCCCACATATGAGGGTCAGTGACACTGCCCTCCACAGCTAAGATGATGAATAACAGCTTGACCTGGAGCTGGGCTGCTGTGAGTCTCCGGCGATGGCGTAGGCTGCAACAGGGCTGCAGTAGACTGCCATAAGCTACCGTGAGAAGCTGGCAGCCAGCGTGAATGGATGGTAGCCAGTGTGAGCTACCAGGAGCCACTGTGAGCGGCCGACCAAAGACCGGCTACCAATTGCCTCACCCGGGAAGAGCACAATGATCATATCTACATGGGCCAGTGAAGCGACGTCCTCCACAACTAGATTGAAGAACAAAACAGCAATTTGTCTACCTGTCTGTTCCCCTTCCCTGACTCCCCGATGCTGTTCCCCTCCCCTCAATTCCCCAATAAAATCTTAAAGAAAAAAATTTGACTACCTTAATCAAAGGGAGATGATCCTGATGGGCCTGGCCTAATCAACTGAAAGGCTTTCAAAGCTTAGGTTTCTCTGAGATTTCCCTGAGACTCCTGCCTATAGAAAAGCATCAGCTAGAGGTCTTGCCCCTTTAAGTCACTACTCTGAGGCCTTTGAGCTTGTTTAGCAGCCCCCACGACTGCAGGCTGCTTACTTCCTGCTGGTTCTGCTTCTCGGTTGGACCCTGACACACAGCTTTCTACACCTTGGCTTTTCCACAAGTATGTGGAAGTGTCCTTCCATTCGGGGAGGAGCACAGCTACCCCATTCTCCGTGGTATGGATGTGCCATTGGTGACAATTGTCCCCCTATGAGTCCCACCCCATATGCACACAATACCATCATAAGTCTGTTTACAAGCAACAGGGTCGCCAGTTCGACTCCCAGCCCGAGCTGAGCTGACAACAGGTGGCAGGATGGCTCAGCTAAAAACAATAAGTAAAAAAAAAAAAAAAGACTGTTTAAGTAAATCCTGGCTGTTATCACTTTTTGTGAACTTGAGAGCTGCGTCCCCAAAGGTTGAGACACTGTTTTCCCAGAACTCGAGGTTTTGTGAGGCTTCAGTGTCTGGGTGATTCCAGGTCTCTGCCTCACTCCCTTCCCAACCTCCAATCTCATGCCTGGGCTCCCACTAGCCAAACCCAAATGGAAGCCAGCGGCCAGGGAAAGTCCACTGATAGTTGACTTGGGCAGAGAGAGATAGGTGAGGGGTCAACCTGGAGGAGCAGATGTGAGCAGGACGCACAGCCACGCCTGACCAACGTGCTCTTTCGACGCCGCCTGCTGTGCTCTCATTGACTTCGAACCCACCATTTTGTACTGCTCGGGGCTCCTCAAACTGCGCGTCTGCAAGTTAGCCCTCCGCCTGTCAGCTGTCCTCCGGCCAAGACCCCAGACAGAAAAGTAAAGAGTCTGGATTTGGGGGTGCCACATGACCGATCCCTTAGGCTGTCTGACGTTCTCCCCGTGTCTCCCAAGTCCCTGCAATCCGCACGACGCCTGAGCGGAGCCCCTGTGTTCCCTCCGAGCGCCGTGTCCTCCCACTGGGGCGGGATCCCACTTCGGCTGCCAGCGCTGTCCGCGGTGCTGAACCCCTGCCAGGCCCACCTGAGAAGAGCCGGCTGGCGGCGCCCTTACAACGTGGTGTGGCCGGGGGCCGCCGCCGGGTGCCTACGTTCTCAGGGCTGTTGACAAGGTCCCAAGTAGAGGAATCGGGTGATGCTGTGTGAAAGGTGAGCAGAGAGAAGTGCTCCTGGGCTCTGCTTGTGCTGATACGTGGTCCTGTGGTTCCCACAGTGCCCCAGCCGGGAGGGAAGGGCCAGGGGTGGCCAGCATCGCCTCCTGCCCACCCCCACTGCTCTGTCTCTACAGTCACCTGCGAGCCTGTCTATGGTGCAGCTACAACCCATCATGACTTCCTCGCCTTTCTCTGCCTTCGTATGCCACTAATGGATTTTGGAACCTGTTCCTCACAGAAGCCATAAAATTGGAACCTCACCGAGACGCTGTGCAGTAGTTCTGCATCAGACAGGTGAAGTCTCTGTTTTCCTTAGGGCCAAATCTCCTAGAAAGTGTTGCCCCACAAACCATGTTCCTGGGCCCCTCCCCACGTATGGTTGAATGTGTGACAAAGACTGATGCCCGTCTTAATTCTCCACAGTGTCCTATGTCCCAGACTTTGCCTCCTGTCAGTGTGTCCCTGCTTCATCACTCTTCCTCCTTGGGAAGGTTTCCGGCATTGCTGTAGGAGGTTCCCCACCTGGGATCTGACTTCGTGTTCCTGCACTTGAGCTAAGAGAGGAGCTCCCTCTACAACCGTTTCCCACCCCCGCTGTACAGGTTCAAGGGTGTCTAGAGCCATTTTCTCCTCATCAGTCACCACTGGGGAAAACAAGACAAAACCGGAAGGGCAGATACCCTCTCTTCTGTTCTGAGTTAAAGGAAATACTGGAGAAATGAGGGAGTTTTCAGTTTTACATCAATGTCTGTGAATTTGAAAGTTCTCAAGTTGTTGGGCCAGCCGAGTGGCACGTTGGTTAAGAGCTGGCTTGGGATGCCAGCTCTGAGCAGCAGGGCAGCGGTGTGGATCCCACATTAGGGCCAGTGACGCTGCGCCCTCTACAGCTAAGATGGTGAACAACAACTCGACCTGGAGCTGGGCTGCCGTGAGTCGCCAGAAGCTAGTAAAGGTGGTGTCTAAGTTTCAGAGAGTTTAAAGGGAGATAGTGGTGAGAAACAGGGGGCTGGTGGGAGGGAAAGGATGAGGTCAACAAAAAAGCGAATTTTCAGCTTTGACTTTTTTTCCAAAGTTTTTTTTTAAAAGACTTTATTGGGGAATTGGGGGAGGGGAACAACGTTGGGGAATCGGGGGAAGGGGAACAGACGAGTTGCTGTCCTTTTGTTCTTCAGTCTAGTTGTGGAGGACATCGCTTCACTGGCCCATGTTGGTATTATCATTGCACTCTTCCCGGCTGAGGCAGATTGGTCGCCGGCCTCTGGACAGCTGCTCACGGTGGCTCTTGGCAGCTCATGCTGGCTGCCGGTTGCTCACGTTGGCTGCTGGCTACACACAGTAGCTTATGGCAGCCCACTGCAGCTTCACTGCAGCCTACGCCGTTGCCAGCGAGTCATGGCAGCCCAGCTCCAGGTCGAGCTCTTTTTCACCATCTTAGCTGTAGAGGCGCAGCGTCATTGGCTTCATGTGGGATCTGAACTGGGACCCTGCTACTCAGAACTGGCGTCCCAAGCCAGCTCTCAACCATCGTGCCACTCAGCCAGCCCTCAATTCTTTTCAGTATACACCCAGTAGAGGAGTTGCTGGGTCATATGGTAATTCTACGTTTAATTATTTGAGGACCCTCCTTACTGTTTTCCACAGTGGCTGCACCACTACATTTCCATCAACAGTGAAAGAGGGTTCCAAATTTAGCACACTTGCTGACACTTGTTTTCTGTTGTTGTGGGCCCTGGCCCCGCCCTCCCTTGGCCTCGCCCTCCCAAGATATGGCCTCGCCCCTCCTGACTCCTGCTCCGCCCTCCCTGGATTCTGAGCTTTCCCTCTCGCTCCGGCCCCGCCCCTTCTCAGGAGCTCAGGTGGCTGAGCTGCAAACCACCGAGACGGCGGAGACTCCAAGCCGCCCAGAGGGGCCGGAAGTCTGCGGGACTGAACGGGCGCGGACGTCCAGGCTTATTTCCGGCGGCGTCGCGCGTTTGGAGCCTCAGGCGGTCCTCCGGGACGGTGAGTCGGGGCGCGACCGCGCCCTTAGGCAGAGGAGTTGTGGTTGGTCCCCGCGTCCTCCCGCCTCCGGCACTGCGGGCCCCGCGCTCCCTGGGCCTTTCGGGGACGCTTCGGCGACCAGGGTGGCTGGGAGAGGCCGTGAGCGCCTGGCGGGGAAGGTGGTCGAGCCGCGGGCGCCTTGGCCAGCGGAGGCGGCAGGCGTTTGGCGGAGTCCCGCAGACACCAGCCGCGGCTTTCCCTCCATCCTGTTCCTGGAGGTTCCTTGATTCTCCTTCCGGCGTCACCACCGCCTTCCAGGGCCCTCTTTTTCTCTCACTTACGGCCCCTGGAAGACTTACCCTTAGTGATAGTGGCAAAAAGGGCTGTGCCTTGGATGGTGTAGGATGTTCGCCTTCTGAATCCTGGCCGCCGCTCAAGGCCTGCCCGCCTCCACTTGGGACTCAGGATCCAGCGCTGGCAGCATCACTCCTGTCAAGGCCCAGGTGGGGGGGGCCCACCCGACAGTGGTCACCGCGACCCTGCTCCGCCTCATTGTGCACACGGCCTGGGGCGTGTGCCCACAAGCCACTTTATGAAGCAGGAGCTCCACTAGGAAGCCCACTCGTCATTCTGACCTACCAGGGAGATACACGGGGAGGGGAATTCCTGCATCCACTCGTCTTTGTCCAACAGTGCATTGTCAGGCTCCTGTCTTCCAGCCTCCAGTCACACCACGCTTCCCCTGACTGCTGGAGACCAGCCCCGCTGGCTCCTTCAGCCCTATTCCTCCCTGCCTCAGGCCCTTTGCTGCCTGGAGTGCCTTCCCCGTCTCCAACACCTTGGCCTAGTTAGCTCCTCCGAGAAGTGACCATCAGACTAAGTCAGGGTATCCTCATTGAGTGCTTTCTGGGTTGGTAGTACAGGGTGCCATCACGGTTGTATATTGCATTTATTTGTGTGGTTATTTAACTTGTTCCTGCTAGACTGTGTTACATGAGGGCAGAGTCTGTGTGCTGCTCACTCCTGCACTCCCGCTTAGCTGAGCACCGGGCACACGTGGCAGCCACCCCCTAGGCGTTGTGGAGTGGTTCACAAACGCCATGGGCTCTGAAGGATGAGCGAGACCTTGGGGGCAGATGCCCAGGTGCTGTGGCCACTCTGGCCCGGACCCGTGTCCCCACCAGAAAACTCCTGGGGGTGGAGGTAAAGGGCCGGAGAACACAGAACCCCCTGGATTAGCCTAGATGTCAAGGGTGGGGCCTCCAGCATCCTGACCTCTGACCCTTTTCGTAACTGCCCACAGGTCTCGGCCAGGACACATGGATGCTCACCCACCCAGCCTCATGGTAGGAGTCTGACAGCCTCCATCCCCAGCTGTCCTGTGAGGGCCCTGCCTCCTCCGCAGCCACCCTGCCCAGTGGGCCTGGGCCTACATCCTGCCTCGGCCCCTCGCAGTGGCCCTTGCCAAGCTCAGGCGTGCCTGTCCCCAAGGCAGTGAGCAGACCCCTGCCCAGACTGGGGCCCGTGTGAGGGGTGGGTTGTGGGTCACTGTGGACTGGGCCCCTCCACCTCCTCCACACCGCACCACCCACCATGATTTTAGAGCCAAAGGGGCCTAGTGACTGTCTCGCCCAGCCCTGTGGTGCACGTATGTGCCTGAGGCATGCCAGGAGGCAGCGTCAGAATGGGGCTAGCACCCAGGGGTCCCTGGGGTGCTGGTGTGTGTCCTTTCAGGAGGCTGTGACATTTGGTGATGTGGCTGTACACTTCTCGCGGGAGGAGTGGCAGTGTCTGGACCCCGGCCAGAGGGCCCTCTACAAGGAGGTGATGCTGGAGAATCACAGCAGTGTGGCCGGACTAGGTGAGGCTATACCTCGGGACCCCACCTCCCTGCATCCTCGGTCAGCACCGACCTAGCCAGGCCTCTGTCAGAGGCCCTCTCAGGCTAAATGGGGACCTTGGGCCTGTGACTGTGGGTCAGGGAGGGGTCCTGGTGAGTAAGGCAGGCTCGGAGCTTTGCCTTACATCATGTGGTTTCATTCTCACAGAGTAGGTGGACTTCCGGGGGGCCATAAAGACTCCTTTCTGTCCGGGCTAATAGATTAACTTGTAAGAAATAGAATCCAAACTAGAAATAGCTTCTTTGCTATCTTTTTAAATTTCTAGAATAATTCATATAGATGGAACTAATTGAATTCTTTAAGTTTTTGGTAGAACTCACCTGTAAAACCATCTGGGCCTTGGGCCCTTGGGGAAGGAAGGTCTTGCTCCAACACTTACATTTCTTTAGTCCTTAATAGTCTGTCCAGCTTGTAAATTTCTTCTTGTACTACTTTTCTCATTTCTAGTTTTTCTGAAAGTTGATTTATTCATTTAGATTTTCAGTTTTTCTAGCATGTGTCTGTTCACAGTACTCTTCCTTTTGAAATCTCTATTATGTTTGTGTTGCTTCCCTTGCTTACATTTTGGCAGTGTGTTTTTGCTGTGTTGGTTTTGACCAGTTTTGCCACAGAACTATTCTACTTTTGAAAACCAGCGTTTGGTTTTGCTCAGCTTTTTTTGTGGGGGTCTTTGTTCTCTAGTTCATAGAATCCTGCCCCATGAACTTTCTTCATTTGTGTTTTACCTTTCTTATTTCTAGTAAATATATTTTAAAATGTAAAATTCTGTCTTTAAGTACTGCTTTAGCCGCATCCTAAAAGTTTTGTCTCGTAGTAGATACAGTTGCCACTTAGTAATTTGTTACTTAATCTCCAAGTCCTGATAGTTTTCACTACCTGTTGCATTTTGCTTGGGCACACAGTATGGTGTTCTTTGCACTGCCTCATGACCCGCTCTGTTTCTCTCTGAATGTCCCACATGTGCTTGGAGAAAACACGTGTTTCCTGTTGAGTGTGGGGTCCTGCCCACACCTGAGGCCTTCAACCTGGGATCACTCTGCCTGCCCTGGCCCCTCGGTTGGAATCCTGAGGGAACGCTTCAACCACAGAGCCCATGGATGGGCTGGGAACACACCACACAGTCTCCCCCACCCCCCATGGCATGAGGCTAGTGGCCCACAGTTCTACCACTCCCCAGTCTGCCAGAACTTTGTGCAAGGACGCAAGGCTAGGGACAGTCGGGTGAGGGTTGGACGCTAGTGACTTCTAATTTAAAATCTGTTTGTTTTTGATTTTCGTTGTTCTTTTTGTCTTATTTCTTAACCACCCCAACCTCTTGGAGCGTACCTGCACTCTGAACCAAGGGACATGCTGGCAGTGCCTGGCTTTTCTCTACCGGGGGTGCAGCAGCCTATTCTTTGCGGATTCTTTGGTGATAGGGTCCCCTGGGGATCCTGGCCCTGTAGCAGATAGGGATGAGCTGGAAGTTGCAGCTTCCCTCGCTGTCCAGCCTCAGCAGCTGGACTGAGCGGACGGAGAGGGCCTATGTGCCCAGGTCCTCACCATCGGGTGCTCCCTTCAGAGGCTCTCCTGCGCCCCCACAGCCCCCGCTCCTTTACTCCTGGAAGCCAGAGGGCACTGAGCCCTGGGCTGCATCCCCAGCCACGCCAGTGTGGTGTCCTTGTTTGCCACCTCGACAGCAGGATTTCTGGTCTTCAAGCCTGAGCTGATTTCCCGGCTGGAGCAGGGGCAGGAGCCATGGGTCCTTGACCTGCAGGGAGCAGAGGGGAGAGAGACGCCAAGGACCCCCCAGACAGGTGAGGCTTGGCTCTGTGGCACAGATCCTGTGCCTGGTGAGGGCAGAGGGTGGGAGCTGGAGGTGGACGACAGGTCCATGGGGTGGGCCTGTGGACAGAGCAGAGACCAGTCACAGGCTGGCTCGGGAGAGACTGAACTGCTGAGAAGCAAGGACACAAAGCACCCGTGCATTACAGCAAAAGGGAGTATATTTTTATATCCACATTTTGTTCAGTTTCTAAATTTGCCAATATTCTTCCTAAGCCGAGGTACAAATATGGATGCAAGGGAAGCAGAGAACTTGGTTCTGAGAATCCTCTCAGTCCCTGAGACAGTCACACCCCCACCAGAACTTCTCAGGACCCCAGTGACCCCAGCCTCTCAGGTCAGGCTCCGGGGTTGCTGTGATAGCACCACGAACTAGAGGCCTGCATCAACAGAGATTATTGTTTCGGTCCTGGAGCAGAGGTCCAAAATCAAGGCATCGGCAGGCTCATGTACCCTCTGAAGCCCATCCAGCTTCTGGTGGCCCCAGGTGTTCCTTGGCTTGTGGCCGCATCCCTCCACTCTTTTGCTGTCACAGTGCATTTTCTGTGTGTCTGTCTTTTCAAGGACACCAGTCAGGTTGGATGAGAGCCCTTCCTGATCAGTGTGACCTCATCTTAACTAACTCCAGTTCAGTGCACCTAATTATAAACAAATCCGTATTCTGAGCTCTTCGGGCTGGAGTTTCGCACCTTTTTGGGGCACAGTCAGCCCATAACGGGCACCCACCTCCTCATGGTGTTGGCTCCCTCAGGGTTCCTGTCAGGGGTGCCATCGCCTCTGGCTTGTCTGACCCTCCCTGGCAGACACGTCGCCCAGTTGAGTCAGGGAGCTGGGTTTGCACACACCTTTACTGCACCAAGAAACTCCCCCCCACCCCAGCTGCCATGTCCCAGTCACTGCCTAGGACAGGGCCTGTCCCCAAACTCTGTGTCTCAAGGGCTGTCTGGAAGCAAGTAGGAGAACCAGAACTATGACAGTGAAGGATTGTGCTTTTTCTGCCTGGAAGGGCCCAGAGTTGTCTTCAAAACAGGCCACTGAAGGGCGGGCTGGGTGGCTCATTTGGATAAGACCTCACTCAAGAGTGCGAGCTCTGAGCAACAGCGGTTCAATTCCCAGCCCGAGCTGAGCTGCCACTGACCTGCCAGCAGGGGGCAGGATGGCTCAGCTAAAGAAAAAACAAAACAAAAAAGGACACTGAGGGGGGCCGGCCGAGGGGCTCAGCTGGTTAAGAGCTCGCTCAAGAGTTTGAGCTCTGAGCAACAGCGGTTCGAGTCCAGCCCGAGCTGAGCAGCCGCTGAGCTGCCAACAGGTAGCAGGATGGCTCAGCTAAAAAACCAAACAAACAAAAAAAACCAATGACACAGTAACTGAGCTGCTTCACACATGGGTGTGCAGGAGGCACTGAAGCTGTGTGCAGGGTGTTGGGAACTTTGAGCCCAGCCCGCATCACGCTTGGCTCCAGAACTGAAGGTCCTGCCTTCCTGTTCATCCCGTTTCTGATCTCTCTTGGAAAGGTGTAAAGGTATCAGCTGGCCCAGCTAAAACTCAGACCCCATTAAATATTGCCAAGGTGGAGGTGAGCTTCCAGAGAGGGCACTGTGGCAGACAAGCAAGTTCAAGTTGGCAGTCCCTTAGCTCAGTGGCTTATGTGCAGGTGAGACCGGCCTGAGCACAGGGCAGGGCAGGGCACAGCTTTGTGCCAGAGCCTTTGTGGGACACGTGAGGAAAACGCAAACACTCAGACATGTGATTTTGCTGGCTGGTGCAGCAGGTACCCCAGGATTGACTTGGAGTGGCAGGAGAGGGCAGCTGCACCCCGATCACAGCCACCGTGGTCCCCAGAGTGCCCCGCTCTCTGTGCTTCATCACTGTCCTTGAGGGCTCCATGGGCCATGTCACAGGCAAGGTGATGGCTGTGGTGGGAGAGTTCCTCGAGGGCTGACTCAGCTTTCACTCACTTCACTCATTTCACTCATGGGGTGTGATGGATGCAAGCAGTGGGAGGCCAGGTCGTGTGACAACACCTGGGCTTGCTGACTGGTGCTTGTGGAAATTGGGCCTGTTCTCCTCCAGGCTGGGTGACAGCCTGTCCTCAGGCGTGGCTGGAGTGAGTAGTAGATTCTGGACGCCTTGCATTTTCTGAGGCAGGAGGTTGAAGGGCACCTGGGGTCATCTTAGGGATGAGGCCTGGTCAGGAGAGGGTCTTTGTCAGAGGAGGCTGCCACTGGCAGTGGGGACAGGAAGAGATGGGCTGTGCTGTGGGCTTGAAGGGAGGGTGCGTGGGGCAAGCTGTCCCCGCTGGGTGTGGCGTGCAGGTACGTGGGACCGTCGTCCTGTAACTGCTCCTTACACACTGGGCTCCAGAAGCCTGAGGGAGGCCGCCCAGAGCAGCCAGCGGGTTTGCGGTGGCCTCGTCCTGCAGCTGCGCTATGGCCACTTGGCACTTTGTCTCTGCAGCAGGAGACCTGGGGCTGGTGTCTGGTTTGGCGATGAGGCGTCCCCACATGCTTCTGTGGCTGTCCGTGGGGGCTTTTGCGTCCAAGCTCCCAGCCTTAGCAGAGGGCGGCCCAGGCGGGGCCGAGCGAGCCAGCTCTGTGTGGCTGCTCCCACCTGGTGAGTGGCTTTGTGAGGTTGTGTTTGTGCAGAAAGACGGTGAGGACCAGGTGGGAGGTGTCCCACATCGTAAGGGCACAGACGTTGTATGGGTGTGTGTTTGGGGGAACAGACTTGGGTCCATTACCGAATCTCTCATTAGCTGTGTGACTGTGAGTGAGTTACGTAGCCTGTCTGAGCCCCAAGCCCCATATCTGGGTTGTTGTGAAGTCTAGTGGAGGAACGAATGGGAACTGTCGTATGCACAGTTCCCAGTGCTCGGCAGGCCCTTCTGCACACACAGGTGCAGGGGCCAGTGGGGCACGGTGATGGCGCTCGTGGGCTCGTGGGCTGGTGGCCTGCTTGTGCCCTGGGTGGGATCTGACTTTGGCAATGGTGTTTCCTAGGATTGCAGAGTAGGAAGGAGGCTGACGCTTATTTGAAGAATCCAGAGGAAAAGTGGATTCCCGGAGGGCCTCGTGGGGGGCAGGCTGGGGTAGGAAGACCCCCCAGAAACACACGGGGAGAAGTCCGTGTGTGGTAGTGGGTGTGGCCACTCAGCGCTGAGGGGCAGACTCGCAAGGGGCACGGTCAGCTGCAAGTTGGAGGGAGTGGTTTGTTGGCAGCTGGAGGAAGCCAAGTTCAGGCCTGGGGTCCCACCCAGGAGCCCAGCCAGTGGAGAGCACAGTGCCCATCCCTTTTCCACTCCCCCCGCCCCCCGCAACCCCCCCCCCCCCCCGTACATCCCTCAGCAGCTCTTAGCCTCGTCTTTCTCGGCACCTGTCCATCCTTCCATTTGTACTTTGAAATTGCTCTTTCGTCCTCACTGCCCACCTCTGGATCCCGTGGCCTCTGACCACTCAGTATAATGCCCTCTCGCTAAACTTCCTGCCCTCTCAGGCTCACATTGTGGGCTTTTCCTCACCCCCCCATCCCGTAAGATGAACCTGTCTTCAGACATCACATCGTCGAGGAAGGGTGGCTCTGAGCTCTCTGCTGAGCACACAGTACTTGAATGAATGTGTAAAGCAGAACTTTGAGTGGAACCAAATTTTGAAAATTGTCAAGGCTTCAATTTCTCATAGAGTCTTTCCATGTGGGGTGCCCTGGGAGGGAGCTCAGTTCCCGGGGATGACCCCACCCCCATCCCCGGCCATTGTCCTTCCTCTGAGCACAAGGAGTAACGAGTGTTGCCCTGCCTGTTGGTTTCAGGTTCTATGATTAGCACTGACTGTGAGCAGGCCCGAGAGAACACAGATGCTCCACAGTCAGAATCCCCTGCAGCAATGGTCAGAATCCCCACATGGGCTTGTCCTTGGAGTCCTGGCTCTGGAGACACCTCGGATTCTGAGGTCTGGCCAGAGAGTGAGCCCAGCTCCCTTTTCGAGAAACACCACTTGAACACAGGGACGGTGGCCTCCAGGAAGACCTTGGCCGAGGAGGCTATGCAGGGACATGGCGAGCTGGGAAGTCAGCCGGATAGATGCCACGGGAGCACCGCAGAGGCAGTGTCCCAAAGATGCGATGTGTGTGGCAGAACGTTTGGGTCCACATCGGCTGTTGCTCTTCCTCAGGAAATTAACACACAGGAGAAACCTAACCAATGTCAAGAGTGCCAGAAACAGTTACCTGGTTGCCGGCAGGGGAAACACCGAGGGGCATGCCGTGGAGAGAAGCCTCATGAGTGTGAAGAGTGTGGGAAAGCTTTCCGGTTGTGCTCACAGCTCAATCAGCACCAGAGAATCCACACCGGAGAGAAGCCATTCAAGTGCATAGAGTGTGGAAAAGCCTTTCGCCTGAGCTCAAAACTCATTCAGCATCAGCGTACTCACACTGGGGAGAAGCCCTACAGGTGTGATGAGTGTGGGAAGGCCTTTGGTCAGAGCTCCAGCCTCATCCACCATCAGAGGGTCCACACGGGAGAGAGGCCCTATGGTTGCCGCGAGTGTGGGAAGGCCTTCAGCCAGCAGTCCCAGCTGGTCAGACACCAGCGGACGCACACGGGAGAGAGGCCCTACCTGTGCCGGGAATGCGGGAAAGCCTTCAGCCAGAGCTCCACGCTGGCTCAGCACCAGCTCGTGCATGCAGCGGGGAGCCCCCCAGTCCCGAGGACCCTGGGCAGCACCAGCCTTGCCCACCCGAGAACAAACGCTACCGAGAAACCATTTAAGTGTGACGAGTGTGGGAAGGCCTTCAGGTGGGTCTCCCGCCTCAGTCAGCACCAGCTGACTCACACTGGAGAGAAGCCTTACAAGTGCAACAAGTGTGCGAAAGCCTTTGGCTGTAGCTCACGGCTGATTCGCCACCAGAGAACTCACACTGGAGAAAAACCATTTAAATGCGAGGACTGTGGGAAAGGCTTTGTCCAGGGCTCACACCTGATTCAGCACCAGAGGATCCACACTGGAGAAAAGCCCTACGCGTGTGGCGACTGTGGGAAAGCCTTCAGCCAGAGCTCCAGCCTCATCTACCACCAGAGGATCCATAAGGGAGAGAAGCCGTACGGCTGCCTGGAGTGTGGGAAGGCGTTCAGCATGAGCACGCAGCTCACCATTCACCAGCGGGTCCACACGGGGGAGAGGCCCTACAAATGTGGAGAGTGCGGGAAGGCCTTCAGCCAGAACTCTACCCTTTTCCAGCACCAGATAATCCACGCTGGGGTGAAGCCGTACGGGTGTGGCGAGTGTGGGAAAGCCTTCAGTCGGAGCTCGTATCTCATCGAGCACCAGAGGATACACACACGAGCCCAGTGGTACCACGAGTACGGGAATACCCTGGGAGGTCCTACCCATGTGAGCCGTAAAAAAGTAAACACTGTGAAGAAACTACACAGATGTAGCGAATGTGAGAAAATATTCAGGTGGCGCTCACATCTAATTATACATCAGAGAATTCACACTGGAGAGAAACCTTACAAATGTAATGAGTGCGGCAAAGCCTTTAACCGGAGCTCAAGGCTCACTCAGCATCAGAAGACTCACGTGGGATAGGCCTCTGGCCTCGTGTGAGCGGTAAACCAGCAGCCTTAACCCACTGACTTTACACGAGGTTGTTTATGTGACATGAACTTGGAATGTGCTGCAGACCCCAGTTCACAGTGTGTCTGTTTGCTGGAATGTTTGATCTCGGCCTGTTCAGTAAAGCCTGTGTCCCCACCAGGGCCACACGCAGAGCCTCAAGCTCATGGGAGCTGCCTGCCGTCCCCCTCAGCAGCAAGGGTGGCGGTGCTCGCTGGAGTCTGAGCCGTGCCTTCTTCTCCTTGAACCACACCCCATCAGAGCCACCCGGGGTCCACGGACCCCGTGCAGCTTCTCTGGAGAGGCTGGTCAGTGCTGTTTCCGTGCTGAGCACGGGCCTGTGCCAGCAGTCCAGAAATGGCGCCTGGGCCCAGGGGCGTCACATTTCCTCTGCTCCCGACACCCAGAGCCCACCTGCTTATCTGAGTGCTGTCATGGGCAACTGTATGCCCCACACTGACACCTGGAACCAGTCCCTAGCTGCGCTGGCATGTAGGAGCGGTTCCCGGTAGCTCAGCAGGTGCCCCCCCCCCAGGGGCCAGGAGTGTCTTGTTTACTTCTGCTAACCACATTTCCCAGAAGACCTCCTGCCACACAAACTGCCAGACTGGGAGGCAGACTGCAGTGGAGTCAGTGTGGTCACATCAGTTCCCCTTGTCCCCAGGTCCCATGGGGCGATGCCGAGGGCCTTGACGGGTGCTGTGCCCAGGGCATTGAAGAACACCTTGGGGGACTTGCTGTGAGTTCCCAGTGAGCTGGCAGGGTGGGGACGTCACCTCATCCCTCAGGTTTTATCTGCCTACTTAGCCTTGAGTGGTCCAGGTAATGAGTGGTCAAGGCCACCTGGCATTCGGGGCTTGCACAGTAGAATGTGCAGGAAAGGTGGCTGGTCCCAACAGCCTACCCTGTGGCCTGAGGCTTTCTTAGCTGAACTTGAGTTTTCATGTGGGTCAGCCACTCTGGTTAATCTGACCAATGGGCTGGGACCATGTCCCTTCACTGTGTCTCAGAGCATCTGATTAAAACCTCGCAGCTGCAGGATGACACTGACCTGCCATGTTGGCCACAGCCCTGCTCACTGCTGTGGACTCACCCACTGAACAAGTTCCACCCACTTGGGACCTGCCAATCTTGGTGTCATTGTTAGTAATCACAGGGGCAGTGACAGTTTCTCCCACATGCACACAGGTAGCCCAGAGGGACACGGGTCACTTCAGGATCTATTGTGACACTTGCTTTGGGTCACCAGCACACTGGTTTGGTCACACCCACGGGCAGGTCCCCAAGACCTTGCAGCCTCGATCGCCATGTGCGGCAGGCACAGCCTGTAGCAGGTTATGGATTTGTGTCCAGTGAAGTGAGTGATGCTCCCAGCATTTGCACCAGGAGGTTTAGGAGTTTTCCGGCAGCATCTGGAGCAGCTGAGTTCAAGACAGACAAGTCTGTGTGTGTTTCTGTATCTCCGGCCATGGGTGGGAATCTCAGCTCCACAGCAGGTCACCTGACCGCCAGCCGGTGCCTGGACACCGTGCAGTCAGTGCCCACTTCAGTGGCAGCAGCCCCACCCCTCCAGTTGACCCCTCCTCCACCCAGAACTTGTCAGGAAGAATCACTGTGAGAGGAGCAGGGTCTTATGTGAGTTGTACAGAGGCTGTGGACATGTGTCCCCACCTCGGCCACTGTGCTCACCCAGGTGGCTACCTGGGTGGTCAGCACCTGCACATGTGGACAGGGTGTCATATCTGAATGGACCAGGAACGTTTTAGGCCACCTGACAAAGGAATGGTGTGTGGACAGGCCACACTTCTGCCACCTGCTGGCATTTGGGCCTGTTGTTGGAGGGCTGCGCTATGGGACCCCGCCTCCCTCACTGCCTCCTGGGTAATGACGGGACAAAGGGGTGGAAAGTCGTGGGGACTCATCCATGCTCCAGCCTGGGCGTGATAGACTCTCCCCAAATGGTAGCCGCAGGCCAGGCAAGAAGAGACCAAGGCTTCAACCTTAACTCTGCTTCAGCACCTGAGTCTGCTGTGGTCCTAGATTGGGTGACTGGCAGGTGACGGCCTGTGGGCCACATGCAGCCTGTGATTCACTTCTGTGTGGTGTGCTCGTCAATGCCGAAGCCACTAGACGGGGTGGCTGTGATGCCAGTTCCCATGCGTGTCGGTGCCTGCAGATGCAGCGACCGAACACCAGCTGGGCTTCCAGACAAGGCGGTTGCTGGCACTGTGGCTTCACTTCTGCGTCTCAAAACCTCCCCGAGCTCCGAACCACTTTCGGTTTGGCAGTGCTGGACTTCCAATCCATGTCTGCTCAAATAAACCCTTGCAGTTTTTAATGTACCTGTTTATCTTTCAACAGACCTAAGAATGGTTTTTACATTTTTTAACGGGGGAAAAAAGACTATTTTATGACATTTCCAAATTATATTGAAATCAGATTTTGGTATGACCAAATAAAGTTTACGGGAACACAGCCAGCCCCCTTTGCGTGTTGCCTCCAGCCACTTTCTTGCTACAAGAGCCAAGTTCACCACACTGGCCAGTTGCCTCATGAACTTGGGAAAACCAGCTCTGCAGCCTTCGAGAAGCTATTTCCTCTCGACGGTCAGTGTCGTTTGTTCAACAAAACGTCCAGTACAACTAAGAAGTCCACGAAGTAACCCTAGGTCCTCCACACCAGGTGACATTCCCAGCTCTACAAGTACAGGACGAGGGTCCTTTAGCTGCGGCCACTGAAAGCTGCAAGGGGCCCACGGGTTGCTGGGCGGGACATTGTCAGGTACGAGATCCCAGGAATGCATGGAAGGTGTCGGTGCCGCCTATGCTGGGGGCTCTTACAGGACAGGTGGCAGCTGCCTGTGGGGTCATTGCAAGTGTTGGAATATTCTGTTCTGCTTTCAAGTTATACTTCTCAATTTGGCCTTTAGTAAATAAACTCATTTTAAGAATTTCCAGAACACTGTTTCAGAGGTTTTAAAATACTTTGGAGTCAATCAATTAAACCTGTGATTTTGAACTGAAATTGCTTTTATTCTGAATCACAGATTAAGTTTTGACTTAAGACGTTGGATTGGAACTGTTGAGCTTGCTGGAAGCTTCACAAAGAGGGGTGGGGGGCAGAGTTCCACTGGGTTTACACGTCCTTGTACCCCCAGTACGTGTGGCTGCCCCTCAGCCCAGAATGTTTGGTGAATGAATGAAGGATGCATTAGGGGATCATCTGGGCTTTGAAGGTGAGAAGTGAGAGACCCACAGAAGAGAGGAATCTCCAGCACCAATAGCTTCCATGGAGATTAAATAAAGTCAACAAAACTGAAGTGATTTTCCTGGTGCAAGCGTCCGTTCTCTGTGCGAGGCCTTGTGAGGCCTTAGAACACAGGCGGAAGCTCCTGAGCCCAAGTCCGAGTCCGCAGTGAAAACCGAGCACAGATGCGGGTGCAGTCCCTCTGCAGCCTGGGGGAGTCCACACAGTCTGTCCACTCTGCCTGGCGAGAACAACCCACAGCAGTTTTGTCAGTTCTGGAGCTAAGATTTTTTTTTTTT